TCAATAATAGTACGTCATCAATCAACTGAATGCACTGTAGAAGTGCCCAATTACACAAAACAACTGATAACGAAAATCCTTTTAAAAAGCGCTCAGTACCTATAGTAAAATCTCATATGAGAATAAATTTCTTTAAAATAAAATTGTTCTTATCTTTAGGAAGTATGTCTTAAAATCATGAATGGTCACCTTTTCAATCATTCGGCTGTACAGACATTACACGTGCCTTGCCGTGCATTTAAAAAATCACTAGGAAGTCTATGCTTCAGAATCTTTAGATAAGATGGACGCCAACTCGTTTTTAAATTTAGAACATAATTGGTGTAACATGGTGATAAGCGTTGGAGCACGCCAGCTGAGATGGTAACTCAATCGAGCGTTGAAGATACTCTGAGAAATAGACTAGCAAAGAATTCCACTCCTTGACGGTTCTGATGAAAAAACGTATGGCGAAACTATTCGTGTACCTAACCTATGTGGGATTTCCAGCATGAAGGCGTGGAATTGGTTATCTGATCATGATGTCCTAATGATTACAGGGCCCTCCAAGGTTTATAAGGGTTTATTTTGAGGAGGGCAAATCATCAAATTACTCCTCTCTCTCTGTGGATGGGGCGAAAGGAGAGCCAGACTCTTATTGACTACTTACACAACATCCCGATTTCTCCAGATCCTAGCCGGGCCTCGGAACATTATTGCGCATTTAAGGTGGCATTCTAATAGTTTTTTTTCTACCGTAGAACAAAAGGCAAAGCCACTTTAAATTTGTATCGTTATAATACAATCAAAACCATACTTAGGTACCTACAAAGTTTTTATAAAACAGGCAATGTGGCATTTCAACAAAAACGTTCGGCCTTTTCTTCCGATTAAAAAAAAACTAGCTGCAAACGATTTGTTGAACGCTTTGTGTAGGTAGCCAGCTGACGAGAGGCGGCCATTTTAGAAAAAAAAAGTTTACCTGCTAAATCGACGCACGGGACAGAGAATGCAACTTTGATGAATAATTTTGTTGCGAGCATGAAGTATAAGTATTTGAATCATTTTTAGTCTAAGGCTGTGACTGCAACGCTCTTATAATTCCCTTAGAATTGCGGATGTAATGGGCGGCGCCGATTGCTTACCATCAGGGAAACCATCTGCTCGTTTGCCTATACCATAAAACCTATCAGTTGCGGCCCAACCGGCCATTGCCTAGCCAGGGTTGCGGGGCAAACACATATCGAGAGAAAGAGGAACAGGGGGTTTTAGTCAGTAAGAGTCTGACACTCAGTTCTCTCAGTCTGACTCTCTAACAGTTTTTACCGCCACAAAAAAATCAAAGTATTGAGAAAATATTATACTTACCTAATTACTTATTGGTTACTTTAAAAATGGATTGGCCACTACCTAATTTTTTTTCTGTACCTACTTCCTTTCCCATTACAAAGTTTACCTTTGACGTAGGTAATTTCATACTTACCTACTTAAAATACTTTTCATCCGATCATAACCATAGCCTGCCGTAGCTAGATAGATACCTACAATTTTAAATTCCATAAGTAAGCACTCAAATTATCCACACCGGATATTATGTATATATGTTTATACGTATGTTAGAGAAGTTCTTGGAACATCAAAAACATGCCAACAGACCTATTAATTCATTGTTCCTATATTATTATAATCACACAGCGACACAGAACACAATCAGCCATTTTGAATTGTAAAACAAGAACACTGGATTATTGACCTTATTTCTAAAGTGACAAGTCTAAATATTGATCGCAGAGATTCTTAGTAGGCACACGGGGCAATGGCGTTCCGTCCGATGATTTGAAAAGAGAAAAAAAATTGGGCTACAAATTGTAATCGGTTGACGATGGATTCGGCGAGTAAGTACGAGCGGTTTTTAACTGTTCTACAGAACACAATAAACTTTACGTAAAAAGTGCTAAAGTAAAATAAGTAAGGGTTCCTAGTTAACTAGGTACGGAATCCTTCAAAAGGGCTACATAAACATAAAACTTTTACGGATGTATTATTTAAGCGTCCTCTAGGTACATTGGAGAAGCTTGGTATAATTAACAATTTTTTTTTCAGATGGGTAGGTAGGTTACCTTTTTAAAAGTTAAATTTATCCAAGCCTTATTGTATCGCAAATCCTAACTGTTCCGTCCCATTTTAAAAATGCAGCCGCGAAAGTAGCATTTTTCAAAATGGCGCTGACATTTAATGCCGAAATGAGTCAAACGCTGCCATTGTGTAGTGTAACGGAACTTAGACTTAGACGCCAGCACACTGCACACAGCACATCAACCTATACTCATAAATTCAATTAATTTTCAGCTTTAAACCTCGAGCTGTAAGGTCGATAAATTACAGTCCGTACTTTAAACCACGTGTTATTCATTACACGTGTGTAACTTGCGATGAATCAGTAAATAGTCTGCCACGGCATCCACACAGCAAGTCTGTAATAATTTAGCTAATAATGTCCACTGCTCCCGGCTACGACATGCTAATAAAATTTGAACTTGACCTCTATATACGATAAGGTTGATTTTCGTATGTGCCTTGACTAGTGCATGAAGTATTTTACGTAAACTATTCTAAATGATTATAAAGACTGCAGTTTGGCAATTGGGATTTACTTCTGAAGTTAGGAATTTTATTAATTAGATTTGTAGTCGCCATTTTAAGTAAAATATACCTAGGTTACCTAGTTAATTTTTTTGGATGATCGACATCTTACACAATTTTATGGTTAGTTATTTAGAATTAACCTAATTAAGTAAGTAATTCTGAATTAAAAAGGTCATATAAATATATACAAGACCTATTTTCTTTTCTGAAAATAGGTCTCGATCTATAGACTTCTTAACCGACCAAAAAGGTTTTCGACTTAATTTCAAGTTTAACTAAACATAACCTACAAATTCAAGAACTCTCAAGATCCGATTTTGGGTTAATATTTGCACTTTTACTGTAACACAACTTTTTAAACATTTTAATAACATAATTAACTCCTAATAATTATGTAAAACTACTTAAAAAAACGTGCAAATCATCTGGTTTGTCCCTGCACGTAATTTGTAGCGTACATTACACGGACGGAGACTTAAAATTATAACAAGCCGAAAGATAACGTGGCGTCTAGCCTTGAACTTAGCACCAAGAATTTAAGTTCGAAATTACGTAAGTACACTGTCATAGAAGGTAATCTTTGGAATTTTCTAGACGTTATGTAGTAACCTACTTAATTATTTAGCTATAGACAGGTATAAAAATCTTTTTGTAGATATTGGCGTAATTAACCGAATTATTGTCATGTCTTGTCTTTACGATTCACTTATATGTACCTAGGCACTTACGTACTAGGGGTCAATAACTACATGACATTTAAGAATTTGATTCATTAGAATCTAAAGGCTAGTTGAGACGTGCGGAATATCTACTCAGGCGACATGTCGACCATACGATCACGCCCTCTTTGCGTTCACCCTTCACTAATTATTTATCGAATGCGGATGACTGCTTGAAACGAGGGGTCGATTCGTTTATTGATTTTTTAGCTCATAGCACAGCAGTAATCCAAACTTGCTACTATTCATTGATGAGCTGCCATCTTACTTTTTACTATATATTTCTAATTCGGCTATTTGCCGCGTATCTAGACTCTCCTTTACAAGTCACTTCTTCAGCTCGTGATTAGGTAGGTAGGTACCTACTAGATTACGTAATCATTCATCTATGACGTCACAAAATTTTGACGTTGTTCTACGTCATTATCGTGATGTGATTATAACGAACCCAGTTTTAATTATTTAATACTGGGTAATTAAGACTAGGTTTAATACCTACTTGTATCCTGGGAACATCCTCCGTCTGGTCGGTCCTTGACCTATTTATACCTACCGCTAAAAGCAGCAGGAACACCAAATTCTTTTTTATTTTACCTACCCATTCAGAGGTCTGCTTTGTATAATTTGTGTTTTATATCTTATGGTGGCTTTAATAAAATGGGAGGAGACAATATAAGTTTCAATGAATTATTTACAATTTCATATAAATTGTTAGATATGAAATATGAAACATTGAATGTATGCAGTGTCCTAGTTAGACTAATATTGTCTTTTAGGTGTAGCACAGACAAAGGTTATAAGAAGTCACAACAAGGAGGTAATGAAACTCAAGAAGTTTTTATTTAACATTTATTTTCTAGATTATAATTTACTCTTAGCATGAATTTTTCACACCAAAAAACTCACACCGAGCAAGAAAGATGTTACACAGGGTAAATGATCTTGATGAGCCTGCTCATAGTAACAATTGTTACATTAAATATCGATATACATGTGGATTTACTACACTGCATAGCACTTTTTAAAAGTGAACTAAAATTAAATTCCTACTAGGTCACCATGCACACTTCATAGCACTTACACATACTGCATAGTTACATAACAGCTCTCTCAATCACATGATTTGGATTCCACAGCTTTTACATGATTTTCAGTGTCCTGTTTAGATCACTTGATAATAAAGTACAAGGTCTCACTCCCAATGCCACATAGGTTAAGTATTGATTAAATAACCACATAACAACAAGGTGAAAATCTACAATTTTCACAATTAATGATCACTAATGAAGTTCTCTATTCCAACATTATCAATAATTTTAGTGTTAGACATTAATTAGAGGTACAGACAACCTTGGCCTCAAAACATTGAATGAAATGAGGTTGTTACATAACACACACACTGGCTGGATGAGTGATGGTCACAAGCAAATATATTTAGAAAAAGATCTAAATGACATAAAATCTACATGTACAGTTATGCAACCTTTTCAGTGAGGTGTAGCCAAGCATTATGTAATACCTAACCACTTTAATAAAACAAAATACATGTTGGAATTGGTGTATAACGCTTTTATTTAACTAAAAATAAGTTACTAGGTTAATTCCGCGTCTAATAATACATGATTTAGGGGAGTGGCTATCTGTGGTGATTTGGAATCACAATAAATTGAAATTATGGTAACAATTCTTACATTAGATTTAGAGAAGCTTCTTGATCTCATCGTATAACACCAATACGAAGGCACCTCCGGTTCCTCTGAGGACGTTGGAGAAGGCTCCCTTGAAGAAGGCGCCGGAACCCTCGGTCTTGGCGATGGTGGCCCAGCAGTGGAGAGTGTTCTTGTACAGGATGTCGCCCTTGGCACGGCCAGACTGCATCATCATGCGCCTACGGACCGTGTCGAAGGGATACGAGATGATACCAGCAACGGTGGTGACAGTCTGCGCGATGGCCCAGCTGATGACAAGTGGTGTGTTCTTGGGGTCGGGCAGCATGCCACGGGCTGTGTCGTAGAATCCGAAGTATGAGGCACGGTAGATGATGATACCTTGTACGGACACACCGAAGCCTCTGTAGAGACCGGTCAGACCGTCGGACTTGAAGATTTTGCCAATGCAGTCTCCGAGACCCTTGAATTCACGCTGGCCGTCTCCCTTGCCGACGTCGGCGGCCAGACGGGTACGGGCGAAGTCGAGTGGGTACACGAAGCACAGGGAAGTGGCACCGGCGGCACCACCGGACGCCAGGTTACCCGCGAAGTAGCGCCAGAACTGCGTGTTCTTGTCTACGCCTCCGAGGAACACCTGCTTGTACTTGTCCTTGAAGGCGAAGTTGAGCGCCTGGGTTGGGAAGTATCTGATGACGTTGGCGAAGTTACCACGCCAGAAGGAGAGGAGTCCCTGCTCCTTGGGAATGCGGACGAAAGCATCTACGATACCCTTGTAGCGCTGGTCAGCGGCGATCTGTTTGCTGACGTGCTGGACTTGGAGCAGCAGCTTGACACGCTCGATGGGCGCGACGGCGGTCTTGGAAACCGCAGCGGAGACACCGCCAGCGATGAAATCTTTCGCGAACGCGACCGGATCAGCGAGGTTGGACATTTTGTTCGGTTAGGTGGGTGCTCACTTGGTAATTACCTCGCGGGTCGAGGTGGAAACTGGGTACACACACGGAATGGAATAAATCACGAAACACGAACCCCTGAATTTTAAATCAGGAGATTTAGAGTAATTTCGTGATCTCGGGAGCACAGGGGGTAGGTGTGTGCCTTTTTTGAAATTCGATCGATCACGTTCTCTCGCAGTTCTGCCCGGAGGAGCGGCGCAAAAGAAGGAAGGAAGGGGCAGATGTTACCAACCGCACGGAAAAGCACCACGAGGTCAGGGTGGCCACTGCAAAAATTAAAATTACCACTTAGTTCTATAAATAAATTAGTCGTTTTTAACTGTTTCTAATGCAATCGCGACACCAAAATTATCCTTAAAATCATGTTTCTGCTAAATATAACAAAAACAATATAAATATTTTAGCTAAAGATTACAATTGCTGAAATTTAGGACGCAATAACTAAATAAAATTAAAAATATTATAAATACAGGATAACTTTTCAATTTCAAACAGTTTTTAACCCCGATTCAAAGATTTTTTGCTAATACTATATTTCTAAGCTTGTAATAACTTACCCTTTATTGTATTAGCGCTTACATAATTAGGGTAAATCGTTGGAGGTAGGGAACACTTGAATGACGTGCACATTTTGCGTTTAATTATTGCTTTACTCTGATTCCATAGCACACTGTTTTGGACAATTTTTTTCCGTTTTTGCTGTGATTTTCTAGATTTAACAACATATTTGGCTTTATAAGTTTTAAATGTGTACTGAATATGTCTTATTGAATTCGTTAATTCAATTCAAAATAAAAACAAATTTAACTCTTTTTCAGGGTAACAACAAAACGTAATCAGGTTGACCAACCTACATTAGGAATGACAATAATGACATTGGATTGTTGAAAAAATTTCTACATTATCTGTGCCCTGTGCTTGGTAAGTGAAATGCGTGTGTACAAAGTTTGCATTTTGTTTATTTTCGATAATTAAGCTTAAACAGATAATTATAAATTGTTGACAGCGCCATGCAGATGAGTCGTATCGGCTCTCCAGCAGTGAATATGGACGACGATACTGGAGCTGGACACGCATTAAGCGACTTCCTTTTGCAACTTGAGAACTACAATCCATCTATCCCTGATTCCGTTGTTGCACATTACTTGAACATGTCTGGTTTTGAGTCTCAAGATCCTAGGTAACTATCTTATCTACTACAAACTACAAAAACCGTGTAGAACATCAATAATTACTTAAAATGACACGTACAAGATGACCCCTGTTCACATCAATATTGTATTTTTAAATCGATTTTGATTCTTTAAAGCCTGTTATTTATTTGTGAACAGTAAATTTTAGTAATATTACATACATATCGTCATCTTCTGCTTATCTCGGCTATAGAATTAGCTATTTTTACTGTTAACTTTTTGTAGTTTATCATTTAGAAGTACACAACAGTACTTAGACGACTTTTAGGTCCATGTAGTATTTTTAACATTAAAATATAGTTGTTTAAGCCATAAGATGGCTTACTAAATATGGTTGAAGCTTCTGCTGAGGGTTGAAGCTACAGTTTGCACTTGGTAGAAAGTACAAAGTGCTCAAGAAGTAATTGAGGAGGCCTTTAGTAGTGGATGTTCAGTAGTTTATGACCGTTATGTTGAAAGCCATTCTCTAAGGGGACTTCATTTATGAATTTTTGCATCATAGAGTTGATTAAAAAATCATTAGTGGATTTATCTTGATTGTATGTACCATAGACAATAAACAATAAAGGAAACAGTACTTCCTTTTTTAAAAAGGTGACTAGTCTCATTTGAAATGCTACAAAAATTGTGTGCAATCATTGTAGCTAAGTTAATTATAGTGTGTAGTGTACTCTATGTAGACAAATAATTAAAACAATTACAAATTATGTTATTTTACTTTAACTACAAAAATATGTTTGAATGAACTATCTTATGAGCCAGTAGCTTTGCTCATATTATTTTGGTATAAAAAGTAGCATATGTGGCCATCCCAGACTATAATCTGTCTCTTATTCAACCAATTTTATTCATGTTGATTGTGCAGTTCATTAATTATTTTAACAACATGATTACTTAACTACTACTACTACTATTAAGTTTTTGTTTGCAAACATTTTTTTAAATCTTAATGATGTACTTAGATTACCGTAAAACGAGGTGAATGACTTGGCTTGCGCAAAAAAAAAATAGATGTTGGCGAATTTTCCTAGTATCTATTCACCCATCTTTTGCATTTATTCATCCCTCAAATTCTATACACCCACGTCTTACCATTATACATATTATGTATGCAAATGTTCCTTATAAAATTAACAAAGGTCCATTTTTTGTTAGGTTTTTAAATAAAAACTACTAAACAAATCTGAATGAAACTTGGCAGGGATGTAGACTATGGTCTAGAACAATATATAAAACTGTGGTTGAAGCTAGAAGCTAGTCTTTTAACTAAAAGAAACATATAAAAATTCCAGGTTGATCCGCCTCATAGCTCTTGCATCACAGAAGTTCTTGTCGGATATAGCCAATGATGCCCTGCAGCATTGCAAGATGAGGACCTCCAGCCAGATGACGCAGAGCTCCAAAAACCCTAAAGGACCTAAGGAAAAGAAGTATGTTATGACAATGGAGGACTTAGCTCCAGCGCTACAGGAATACGGAATCATTGCTCGGAAACCCCATTACTTTGTTTGATGTTTACACAGCTGGAACGAAGCCGACTAGAGGTATTTGCTTAGCTTAACGTTTTTCTACTCCACAGACGCTCAGTGCGAATATTTTTCACGTTAACAAAATCAAGCTCTCTGATTGGTTGGTTAATATTGTACTGGCCAATCAGAGAGCTGAATTTTATCCAAGATGGCGGTCATACGAAACTTCACACTAGTCTGGAGAGAAAACGTTAGTTCCTTGTCTGTATATAGCTCTTACCACATCAATGGGCTCTTTATAGTATAAATTCATTAATAATGTTGAAGTCAGCACATTTTAAACTTAAATATTATTATCATTAATATTTGTTATTACTAATAAGCAATATTATTTTGTACTGTATCTTTGTAGGTTATAAACAATTTTGATGTTGATCTTGGTTGCAATGTAAAGATGGAAATAAGTATACTTACACCCGGTTTCCGAAAGGCCGATCAATGTCAAATTAAAATCAAATTAGTCTCTTGTCCAGTCATCTGATTGGTTGACTGAATTATCAACAACCAATGAGATGACAAGAGATTTGACACCTAGTTAGTTGATTTTAACATTGATCGGGCTTTCGGAACCCGGGCATTACTATAGTATCGAGCCAGAAGCTAAACGCTTTTATATAATTATCATAGAAACACCCTTGGTCTGTTGTGCTACATGACACTTCTTTTAGTAGGTCAAATCAAAGTCAAAATCATTTATTCCAACTAAACCACCCATAAACAGGTAATTTTGAAATGTTAACATTGTATTATAGACTGTGTTCTATTTTTGAATATAGACTATATTCTATTTTCAATCAGACAGTCAGTGTAATCCCTAAATTATAAAACAAGGTCGCTTTCTCTATCCCTATTAACCTACGCTTAAATCTTTACACAAAGATTTTGATTCGGGTTTGTATAGTGAGAATAATGAAAGAGAAAGGTTTATATGTATTTACAATGACAGCCATTAAATAGTCGAGAACTTAGTATTAGCATAGCCGTTCGGGTGGCTAGTAAATGTATAAAACAGATTGGCTTCTGGCGCGACACGACGGGCAAAAACATTTCTGTTTTAAAAATGATAAGTAAGAATGTATCAGCTATCTTCAAGTCGGATGCATCATGACTAGTGGCAATATCCTGTTGGTAGATTTGGACTAATAAAGATGTCCCGCTTTTTTTGTGAGGAGAAAATCTTCAAATGTCTTCTCCCGCCCAGGGTCGGCGGGAGTTTCAGACTCTTGCTGGCTAAAAACACCCACGTTCCTTCTGCTCTGGCCGAGGTCGTGGTGCCCCATTGCGCTTACCCCGCAACCCCGGCTGAACATCAGCCCTATAGGGCCCCGTCTGTGGGATAAGGGTCCCGTTATTACTTGAAAACAGTAGAGCTTTTCTCAGTTACTTCATGTGACTAATGCCCGGTTTCCGAAAGCCCGATCAATGTTAAAATCAACTAACTAGGTGTCAAATCTCTTGTCAAGTCATCTGATTGGTTGTTGATAATTTAGTCAACCAATCAGATGACTTGACAAGAGATTAAATTGATTTTAACATTGAACGGCCTTTCGGAAACCGGTTGTAAGTTGTTAAAATATGAAAAATGTAATGGAGTACTATCTTTATTGGCCAAATCTACTGACAGATAGGTTTGGGGTGCGTCTATAAGGTTAGCGAGGTATTTTTGAGGATTTGTCACGCTTTTTCATACCTCATAAGATATTTCTGAACATCTCTCCCCCTTATTTTAATATCAGGGGAGATTTTTAAAGACTTATATTTGGACTATCAGTATATAGCAGTAATTTAAGATGAGAAATATGTTTTCGATCACATTTTTATCTAGTTTTTTGCTCGAAAAATATTGCTACGACTGCTACGTCTTGCTATAGCCCTTGTATTATAGCAAGTCGTAGAAATATTTAAAAGAGGTTCAAAAGGATTAAGCTTGATTCCCGTCCGCCAAGAATACCTCGCATAATATAATAGACACCCCCTTATTGAATCGTGTGATCTATAACAGTCTTAGAAATAAATGATTTTTATTATAGAAAATATTTTCGCATAGTTCCTTTAGTGTCCATTAATAATATGAATGCAATAATAAATATATCATTATAGCCTTTTACGAGTTCTAAATTATAAAGTTTTTCAATCTCCCCCCACGATAATGTAATAAAAAAAAAAAAGGAATTGCTTCAGAATATCTGTTTCAATATTTGTCTAACTGACCTTTTTTGTGGAAGGAAAATCATCAAATAATTTCTCTCGCCCAGGGTATGGAGAGAGGGAGTGTCAGACTCTTACTGACTTAAATCCCTCCCGTTCCTTCTCCTGCTCCAGGCCGAGGCAGTGGTACCTAGAGCGCTTGACCCGACCCTGGCTAGTGTTTGTTGTTTCGTTTACTAGATGGCGCTAATGTAGCCCAATGTCTATTGCAAGAGAATTAGCGAATTCAAATCATTAAAGACAAAATCAAGACTTAAAATATATCTTTATCAGCTAGTTTTTGAACTTGATACAAGTCTTAAAGCTTCTTTTGATCAGAATT